ATCTCTGTGGCCCCCTGAGGCCCACTGCCAGCAGATCCCTCCTTGTTTACCCAACTCGGAGGAATCAGCTTACAAGCTTCACAAGTACCCTTTTCACCTTTCCCATCAGAAAACACCTCTTGAAACAATGAGGGAATTGGATGCTGCCACCTGATAGCTCCAGAGGAACCTACGGAGCAAAGAATGCTCTGAGCAAACAGGCTTCCGTAGGTGGCCTGCGAGAAGAGCCCTGGAGAAGCTCTCCTTTGTGCTCGGGCCATTGAGGGCTGCCTGGAAGGCCGGCTGGCCTGCTGAGGCTTTCTTCACCCGTCCTGGCACAAAGGAGGCATTCGAGGGGTGGGAGGAAGGGGGAGCTGTTGCTTTTTTAGCGGCAACACTGGCAAGTAAGAAGTGCCCTTTCACGGAGCCAGAAAATGCAGCACAACATGCTGCAAGGAGCATCTTGTCCTCCTGCACACTGTAAAAACTTCTGCCCCTCGATGCTCCAGCGGAGAAGTCTTTTGGAACGCTATTTCCCCTCTTGCTTTTCCCACTGCCATGTGGAGAAAATGCCGGCTGCCATCGTAGAAATTCAGAAATGTCGAAGCTCTTGTGGCAGAAGCAGCGAAGTCTTGGGGCATCTTCAGGTTTGCCAGTCGTGTTGTGGCTGGCAAAAGCTCTCCTGCCCCAGCCTGCTTCTTCAGGGGCCTGAAAGAGCATCCTCCGTTAGCACAGGGCTGAGTGAGGGGCTCGGGGGGAATGGTGAGCAGGGAGGTCCACTGGAGCTGAAAGGCAGAAAGTACCGATGGGAACAAATGCCTCACACAACACATGCTCTTGCATCGGTGAGCCCGAGAGCTAAGAAACGCCTTTGTGCTTGTTCAAGCCACAGACTGTGAAGCTGAGTTTGTTTGTTGGTTTGTTGATAGATGCATATGCCCCTCCCCTGGCCTTCAGAGAGGCTTACAGTCATCATACGCGAATGGGTGATGTGTAGCTGAGCAGTTTGACATTCCCAGGCTGTCTTGGAAGGGCCCAGCTCATGCCCACTGCTGGGGCGTCCTTGGGGGCTGAAGCGTTCTCTGCTGGCTTTGAAGGCTGCCTTGCCCAGCTGCCACAGCGCCGCGCACCATCCATGCTAGCTGCACCTCCCTCTGCTCAGCACAGGATGCAGGGCGTGCTCTCTGTGCAAAGTAGGAAATACCCGCACATTTGACACGAGAGGAGTAATGTTCAAAAGACAGTGGAAGGTGCACCAAGAACTCCCAGCTCAGCTGCGGTTCAAAGCAGTTCTCTCCACAGACAGGACAGAGGTGTTAAGAAGCAGGTCTAAAGTTGGACTGAAAATATTTATATGTTACTTTAATGGAATCGTGTTCAGTCATACGAGCTCTGACACAAGCTTGCTTACTCATCGGCTGTTTGAGAGCTGAGTCTTAATTCACTGATCACCTGCGGGGGCTTTGTGGTGAGTCACCAGGCTCCTGAAAGGTGTTGGAGCAAAGGTTGTGTATATGATGGAAGGGAGAAGGAGATGTGGGGAAGCTGTGTGTCGCTTTGCTTAAAATTGCACTCCCTTGTGCCTTTCACTGCGCATTTCCTTCGCCTCAGTTCGCTCAGTTCCTTTGCCTCTGGTCGAATGGGGGCAGGGCTGCAGCGCAGATGTGACTTGTAGGAACTCATGAAAGGACTGCAGGGGACACGAAGGACAACAGCAGCAGCATGCATTTGCGTGACATTATTTGGTTAAAATCACCAAAGGTTGCAATTCTAAACACTTCTACTTGGGCAGGGTACTTGGAGCAAGTGAGGCTTACTTCTGAAGAAACATTCATTGAATTCCATCTGAGTCTCTGGCTTTTTTCCATACCTTTACAAAGAGAAGTATAGTTGAACTGTAGGGCATATAGAGAATATGCAACTGTTTGTGAGCTCTTCCCTTTCATTGCTCTTCAGCTGTTTCACAGTACCAGTTCCTTCCTGGTCCTCTCTTTAGAGATCAGTGGAGACTGGCCCGTTTCTTTTGATGGTTTACGTGGCTGTTCCAGTAATCACACTGCATGAATCGCTTGGAATGCAAGATTTCCTCTATTGTTCATTGCAAGGGGAAGAGCAGCAGGTTCCAGGCTGTGGCTTGGCAAACACAAACCCGAATGGGCAAGTTTTGTTTCTCCGTCTTGGGGAAGCATCTCCGTCCAGGAGTGCTCTTTGCATTTAGGGAAGGGAATTTAGTGCTAGAAGGCTTTTCTGAGAAATTCTTCCTACTTTGCAAGGCCCATCTTCTGAGGTCCGTCTCAACAGAATACCCGCGTCTTGCTAAGTGTGTTGACATCTTGGGCAGTGTAACTGAAGGTGGCTTGTACTTGGCTGCCTGTGAATTCTGCCCAACAGTTGTTTTTCCCCTTTTTCTCTGATTTTCAGGAAGGCACATTAGAAAATCTGGGGATCCCAGGAAGGTCAATTTTCACAAGATGGTGTGTAATTTGGGAAAATTGGGGAAATTGTGGTTATGTTTGGCTTCTACCATGCGTGCATGTGTGCAAGCATGTGTGTGTGTATTTATACCACTTTTGTTCGGAACGCAGAGTGTACCGTTACGATCTGTGGCATGAGAGGGGATTCCAGTGGAAGGGCATGTGGTAATCTGGATGCTGGCAATGAAAATTCGCAGGTTGGATTGGTGAAGATCTTCTGGACTCTGCAAAAGGTGTTGCCCTGGTTTGGACCAGCTTCTCCCAAAGCATTAAAGGATTGGGAAAATGTGCATGTGTGGACGAGAGGAAACGAACGCGCGTGCATGTGTGTCAGTTACGCCTGAGCATGGACCTAGCCTTTGTTTACCCTTTGGGGCTGCCCAGCTTGCTCCTGCTGGCTGTGCTCTGTGTGTTGAGCCTGGCTCGATGGGAGCAACTGCTTCTGGTGGGAGGAGGTTGGCTGCCTGCGCGAGCAGCACTGGAGGGCAGTCCTGGAACTGTCTGCAAGGAAGCTGGCTTTGCTTCTGTTTCTGTGAAGCTGCACTTCGCAGACTGGGCGTGGGTGCGCTCTTCTCAGGGTGCAGTGGCTTAGCAGACACGTCTGTGCCCTTGTAAGGCGGTGTGGGGTGTGTCCCCAAGGGGGCTTGCCGGAGGTTGTCTCCATTTATGGCCCCCCGAGACTCGAACTTCACGGATTTCAGGACAGGCTCATGGGCAGTGATCTGCAGTGTTGGCGCAAGGCTGGCTCACGCTGGCTTGCCTGGCCGCACGCTCACGCAGAAGTGCCCCGGGTTGCATCGTCTTCTCTGGCTGGAAGAACTCTGCAAGCCAGCCTTCCTCTTGGGGGCAGAAAGCTGGCTGGCCTTGCAAGATGGTTGCAGAGACCACAGAGATAACATATGCAGAACAGTTTGAACGCTCAGAAGTTTATTTCCCATGACTTCTCGTTGCTTGTGGGGGTTTTTTTGCAGAACGGGGAGCTGTTTCACGTGCGCCTTTTTGTAACTGTGTGTGAACAGGGTGGCTGTGAGAAGTGCCCATCGGAATAACCCCTGTGGACGTAGAGGCAGCTGAGCAGCCGGACTGCCTCGGTGGGCCAGGGTCGGAAGGCAGCCTTGGTGTGGGCAGAGCGTCGATCAGCCGGGCCGCGCCCTTGGCTTGCAGGGCCCTGGTTGTGCCGAGAGCACGGCTGTTGCCCTGTGCAGCCAGGATGCTTTTGCATTAGCATCTGTTCCCAAGTTATCTTTCATCAAGAGCAGATTATGGTACTTAGCCTAAGTAGATATTCGGCTCCTCCTCCACCGCTGCCTCCACTGTGCTCCCCGTCCCTCTAATTCATGTTGCTCAGAAATGCCGTCAAGTAATTGCCCTGTAATAATGGAGTCGGGGTGTTAGTCATCTCTGCAGCCCCTGCCCGCCTCCCTCCTCCCATCCTGCCTCCCAGTCGTGCTGTCTGTGCTGCCCCCGTCCTCATCCCCGTGCCAGTGGCATCCTGCCCGGCCAAACGCAGCATCTTGTGAGAGGAGCCCCAGCACTCGACTCCCCTCTGCGATTCTGCCTGTGAAGGAGGGAAGGGAACCGCCACTCGCCTTTCCCCACGGTTTGTCTTCTCCAGCCAGGGGTGCAATCCTGGTGTTTTCAAGTGCAAAGCCCCTTCCCTCACTTCCCACGTCGAAATGAGCAGGCCATGTTCAGGTCATGTTTTTGTTCCCCACCCACATCTTCTTCTTTTCATTGCTCTCAAGTGGGAGAGCAGAGCACGAGGAGTCGGGCAGTGGGAGAGCGGGGCCTCGGCACCAGCCTCTTTTGTGCGCGGAAGGCCCCAGTTCACTCCCCATCGCTTCCTTTTGAACGGCTTCGACTGTCAGGATGGGAAAGGAGCCGTGCCTCAAACCCGGAGAACCGAGGGCCAGCACAGGGGCTGGGAGAGCAGCAGCGGCGAGCTCTGCGCCCCCAGCTCCTCAGCCGGGCAGGCGCCTGGCACCGGACGCTTGCAGATGCGGGACATTGCCAGGTAGAGGCGCTCAGGGAGCGGACTGGGAGAGAGAAGCTGCTTCTGCCTCAGAGATGGGGCCGGCTGGAGGAGCTCTCATGGCCCTTCTCATGGACCTATTCATGGTCTCATGGGCCTATTAGCAGGGAGCTGTACTTAGTGGCAGCCTGGCCTGGTGAGGCCGCTTCTGCAGCATCAGGGAATGCACTGGAGGCCTGGAAGGAAAGGTGCTGCCAGCCGGCAGGGTGGCTCGCTTGCCTCGTTCAGTTGCAGCAGGTAGCACCGTCGATGGCCTGTGGCATACGTGGTCGACAGCTCACCTGGAATTTGAGGAGACTTGTGATAGTTTTTCGAATCAGGGACTTGATCTCCTTGATTTTTGTTGTTGAACACAGAATCCTTACAGATAGCTGGGCAACCGTCAGGGAGAACAGCTGTGTACCGCAGTAGTCATGCGTGTAGTCCATCTTGCCCTGAAGACCTCGGGGAGCACCTGTACCCCAAACTCTGGAGAACCTCCAGAGATGGACTCTCCGTTGGCAGTAGTGCCCTGCTGGAGCATCAGTGAGGCTGGTGCCTGCAGTGGTGTTCCCCACTGAGGACTGGTAGATCTAGCAACGGTTTGAGTGTCCTTCGTGCAGGAATATTGTGCTGATCTGGGACAGAGGATGATGGTTGCGGGGTTATTAAGCCTGTCCTAATTGCATTTTTCTCCCCCTCCGCTCTCTCTCAGGTTCATGTCTGGGAAGGGGCTGGTCATCTATCCAGAAATTGGGGACAAACTGGACATAATCTGTCCGAAGGCAGAGCCGGCCAAACCATACGAGTACTACAAGTTGTACCTGGTGAAGCGGGACCAAGCCGAGTCCTGCAGCACAGTCATGGACCCAAACGTGCTGGTGACCTGCAACAGGCCTGAGCAGGAAATCCGCTTCACCATCAAGTTCCAGGAGTTCAGTCCCAACTACATGGGCTTAGAATTCAAAAGGCACCAGGATTACTTCATCACATGTGAGTCTCCCTCCTCTTCCTCACCTTCCCTGCCTTTAGACTTTGCCCTCCTTTCACGCTCTTCTCGTCTGAAACGTGCAGCCTCTCTTGTCACAGGTCGCCCTCCTTTGATGGGCGCTGCTCTGCCTGCCGCAGGCGCAGTCCTTGGAGTGGGCTGGGGCCGATGCTGCAGCTTGCTGCTTTCGCTTTCTTTCTCATCAGCATCTGCCCAAATGGCCTGAGCGTGTGGCTCTGCAGCCCTGCCGAGTGCGTGCGGGCGAGCAGGGCTGTTGCTCGCGGAAGGCTGGCCCTGCTCACCTTGCATGCAAAGCCCAGAAAACGTTCTGCCTTCACATGTGTGTTTCGGTTGCTGCTGCTGTTAAAATTCATGCTTTGTTTCTCACCATAAGAAGTGACAGAAATTCTTCCTTTATTTGTGTTATTTCTATACCACTTGTTAAGAAAAATCACGAAGCAGCTTCCATGTAAATGTTAAGCCTAAACCCAACCGCACAGTTAAAATCACATTGAAAATACAGATTTAAAAACAATGCAATAACAGTATTATTATTATTATTATTATTATTATTATTATTATTATTAATAGTAATAATAATGATTCAGCTTGGTTAATTTAATTGTGGGTCAGGGAAAGCCCAGGCCAATAGGGGCGTTCCCAGGGCGTCTTTAAAAAAGGCCAGTTTTCTGCTTCCCAAACTGCCTGAGGAACGTTTTTCCCACCGGGTGGGTGCCACTACCAAGAAGGCTTCAGTCCAGGCATTGCACAGTGATGTCCTGGTGATGCTGGAGTGCCTGGCAAGGCCTCCTCGGGGGGGGGGGGGGGCTGCATCTGGTTAGTGACAACCCACTCCACTGACCTTAGACTGGAAAGAGCTTTGAACGGCAGGCCTAAGATTGTTTAGATGTTCTGCAGCTGGAGGGCCTCTTTAGCAGTGGCCGTATTGATTTTTGGAAACACGCACAAGCGATGCTGAGCCAAGCTGGCATTAGCAGTCCTCCGGACATCTCGTGGGCTTGACCTGCTGAAGTAGCGGAGTCGCGGCTGCAGCAGGCACAGGCAGTGCTGTCCTCTGAGTGCTGAGTGGCAGATCCTGTGCTGCCACCCAAGGGTCCACCCCCTTCCTTGGGCCAGTGCAGCAGGCCCCGGACTGCCCAGAAGAGCAAGGCCAGCTGGGCTGGGCTGGGAGCGGCAGCAGGGGCTGGGAAATGGCCCTTTGCTGCCGCAAAGTACGCGCAATGCTTTTAATGAATTCTCTTTCTAGAAAACATGGCTTAAAAGTCCATGTTAGTTTTCCCCAATACACAGTAAGTGGTTGACCCAAAATGTGATTTCAGTGTTACAGTATATAGTCATTTTTATAGGAACACTTGTAAAAGTTTAAAGAAGCACGTGCTTCCCCTTACATTGTTTAAATGTAAAAGGGAAAAACTCAGAGGTACTATAAACTGTTGACACGCTAATAAATGTTAGCAATGTTCCCCTGACATTGTTGAGGCACCTTCAGTTTTGCCATCTCTGCTTTTTAGATCTGTCTTACGCCAAAGTGTGTCCTTTATTTATCTCACCAACACCAGTTTTCTCTTGCATAGTTGCTGGGAATAATCACCTGAAAATACTAAATGCAGCTAAGTTTGTCCAATGTTGTATTTGCAATTGGTTCCAGTTCTGTTTTACTAATGAACTTGGGCAATGGAAAAGATCAGGCCTGAGAAATCTTCTGCCCACATCCCTGCTGTGGCGTTTCTGGGACAACCTTGCCTTTGGGTCCTGCTTTCCGACTCCAGCTGGGTGGCAGTGGACAGGCTTCCGGGCGAGCGAGCTTTCTCCCGTGCCTGCTGAGTTTGCTGCAGCTGTGCTCGGGATGCAGTGGCTTCTTGAGGGCAGCGAATAAGCGCAAAAAGTGTGGCGCTTCTCTTGAGTGCCTTCACTTGAGTGGAGGAGCAAGATCTCACTTGCTGGATCAGAGATCTCGCTCGTGGCAAGGGGCCGGCCTGCTGGCTTTGGAGCTGCCTGGGCCAGAGCCGGGCCGTGGCCTGCCATTTGCTCCTGAGCAAGATGCGTCTTTGGAAAGCTTTCTGACCCCGTCAACCTTTCAGTTTCAAGAATGGGCGCGTTTGTCCTCAGATTTATGTCCTGGCCTTGGCTCAGCGGCCTGGGGCACGGCTGTGTTGCTCCAGCAGCTCAGTCACCCGAGGCTTTCTGGCACCGATCCCGCACCGGGTCTCCTGGGGGCCTCTTGCTGTGGGGAGTGGTGCTGGGCTGGGAGGGGAAGAGCCCAGAAGATGTGAATGAAATAGTGAAGTTGGAGCTATGGCTGAACAGCAAAGGCAGCTGTTCCATGCTGAGGCAGGATTCAGTTGCAGTGAGTGTACGGTATGAATCTCTGCAAAAGCTCCTTGGTACCCATTTCCCCTTTGCACTTATGGTGTTCCTGCATGGATTTATACTATCCGAAGAGAAACTGGAGGACAGGAACATGAGAAGTCATCCTGCATGTGGGCTGTGACCTGGAGGCGGAAGCAGGGCCTTCTTTGTCCTGTCTGGCAGGGCCCTGTTGAGTTCCGGATGGTGGGTGTTACTAGCTCTGTTGGTCTTTCTTCCTCTGTTTGCCTATTACAAAACATGCTCCTCTGGGTGTACAAACTTGTGTGTGTTTCCAAAATGCATGTTCGTTGAAGGACCTTTCAACTCTGGCAATAGGACATACGGCAAAACGGGACCCAGTAAATTTCCTTTTAGTGAAGAGAGCTTTCCAGGGACCAAATTTTGTAAACACGCCCAAGAGTTCAAGGTATGCAAGCATTACTGGAGCAAATTAATTTGGCAGGGTGCTCAGAAAACAAAACAAGCCAGAGATGCACAGCACTAGATGTGTATACAGGGAAACTGACTGTGGGGAAGCCAGCCAGTCTCTTGGTGGCTCAACCAAGGGCTGCAGCGAGCCAGCGGGCCGTGCTGCCCACTTGCGCATGGTGTCCAGGTTGATCTGGGTAGGCGCTGCTGCCGTGCGCATTCCACAATTGGGGAGGGTGGGTGGTTCCCCAGAGGCACCCGGAGGGGCTCTGCCATTGCTGAGGCTGTGAGCTGGGAATCGTTCCGCCAAAAGAACAGGCGTCCTGCTCCTCCAAACGGCAACTCTGCCGGCCGGCCTGAATCGGTCGTCTTTGCATGCCAGGGGCTGCTCGCAGATCTTTGCCTCCTGCCAGTCCTGGGGAGGCCCAAGGGGTACACCAGACATGCAAGCTTCTCATGCAAGGCCCGCTCAGGCCCTCTGTGGCTGTTTCCAAGCGTCTTCAGCTTCTGCATGGTCTCAAGAGCAAAGCATGCTTGCTTGCAACCCCAAGATCCTGAACTCTGAGAGCGGGTTTGTGCCAGGTGTGGCAAGCCAGGTATTTTGGCCCGTGACTCTCAGTGGCCTTCGCGTAGGAGGTGGCCAAGGATCACGGGAGAGGAGAGCCGCAAACGCTCCAGCTGAGACCCCGTTGTTCTCCCCAGGACTGCACCCGTGTCAGGAGCCCTAAGGCAGCCTGTGCCGTCTACCATCTGAATACAACTTCCTGCCAGTGGGACTTCCTTGCCTTTGGCTTGGCTGAGCTTTGACTTGTCTCCCTTGGAGGCTCTTCCTCCTCCACCTCCTTGCCTTTGGGACTGTGTCGGCACTCAGCGCCGGCCTTAAGCCTTTGCGGGGGCTGAAGATGCTCCCCGGAGCTACTGTACCTTCTGCAAGAAGCCCTGGGATTCCACTTTGCCAAGGCATACATACAATGCCATAAAAATCAAAGTCCAGGCCACCCACGCCTGCAAAACTCGTCCGGAAAGGCTCAAGCTTTCCTCCTGCCTCCCTGCTTACTGACGGCGCTGAGGGCTTGGGAGCTGCGGTGTCGCTTGGGCTGGGTCTCCCCAAGCCAGCAGGGCCACACCAGTTCCTGGTGCCCGCTCTCCATCTGCCCCCACCCCCAGCCCTGCTGCCTCAAGGCCACTTCGTTGTTCCCCCTGTTGCTTTGAGCTTAAGAACTGTGAACAGTTAGGATGGCTTTTGGACGGTCATGTGATGACTTATCTCTGTGCTGCTGGGCTTCGCACAACATCCAGCCCCGGAATTCTAACAGGCTTTAGTTAAAAGCATCTTTTCTGCAGGAGATCGGGCGAAGGAGAGGAATTGTTTCTGTATCCTCAGAAGGAGAGATGGATGTCCTGGTGTGTGCTCAGGCCGGGGGCTCCTCTAGCCGGAAGGAGCAAGTTGTGCGGACTGCTCGCATGTGGCTGTCCGTCCAGGGCTGGCAGTGGTGAATTCCAGGAAGGGAGCCGTTGCTGCCAGGAGCAGTGGCTGCTTCTTCAGGAAGCTCTGCTGTTCACCCCTCCTGGGGATGGCAGTGGGTGCAGGGTGCCGGCTTGGCACGAAAGAGGCGGAGGGATGCAGGTGTGCCCTCTGGGATGCAGCGCTGGGCTTGCCAGGTGGGGCTGAAGCGCGGGACCTGCCTGGAGCGCCTCTGCTTGTGTGCCGGATGTGTGGGCAGAACCCGGGAGCTCTCCGTGTGTGTCTTTGGTGGGGGTGACAGGGATTGGACGTGTTCCTGGGGAATATTACGGGGCAGACAGGGACTGTACAAAAGGAACTGGCTTCATTTGGAACGAAATGTACTAGGCACTGTGCCCTCTGTGTAAGAAAGGTTGCAGAGGGAAAGCCCCTTTGGAGCTGTGGAGCACCTGGTTTGGGTGGCAGGGGACAACACTGGCAGATGCATGTCCAGGTGGGCACAGGGGAGCAAGAAGGTGCTGTGCACCCCACCCTCTGGAAAGGAAGTTGCAGTAGAGAAGCAGCGGTCCAGGGCGGAGCGTCGCCAGCCTGAAAGCGTGTCGCAGTCTTGCCTTCCAGATTCATTCTGCATCGGATGAGGGTATTAAAGCTTGCAAGTCTGGTGCCCGGTGCTTGCAAACTGGCCACGCTGCTTCTTGGCAGCCTCTTAGGCAGAGGGGCACAACCCTTCTGCCGATGCCC